TATGTGTATATGTATATATATATATATGTATATATGTATATATATATATGTGTATGTATGTCTATATATATGTGTGTGTGTGTATAAACATACATGCTTAAAATCTTACAATGATAATATGACTAAGATAAACACTATTATGGATCTGATGAGCTGGACTTTCAACAAAATCGACAAAATATTTTCAACAAAACAACAGGGTCCTGGAGAACCCTCTTGCCCGACTGAGACTAATGCTGCAGGGTACATCAGAGATCAGCTGATGTGCCTTTCAGTTCTGTCTCTGGAGGATGCTGAAAACGTTTATATTTTGGATTTATGTTAGCAGGTGTTCTGCTATTTGGCATCGGCGGGGCTCTTTTTATCAACTTGAAGAAGACATCGGCAGCAGTTTTGGCCGTGGCAAAATTTCAGTCTGTGTTTGGTACGTGCTATGAGTACTCAAAATCAGCTGATTAACAAGCTAAACTGTGAGATGGAGACAATTTGTGAGAATCGCAGGCCACCTGCGGCTTTAGGACTCAACACCATATGGAATCGACCTTGAGGAGGCTCATAACGTGCATCAGTGGAGAGGAATAACCATAAATCTGGACATTTTGGACCAAGGAAGTTCCAGCAGAACTCAAAGCTGACAAGAAAAAAAACAGTCTGCCTGAAGAAAATCAACAATTGTGGCTTATCTGAATCTGACACCCCTGTTTGGCCTCGGATACAACCCGACTATCAAATTTCTCCTAGAACATGGGTAACTAGGGGAAAAGCTTTGTCTTTCGCAACCCCCCCCCCCCCCCCAGAACTTCTGTGCAGGCTTATCAAAACTGCCGGCTGAAACAACATCATCAGAACTGCGGCCTATCTGAAAGTGCATGGACAAATCTCACTGTCTTGACGTCAAATGCATGTAATGTGCTTATAAATGTGCTTGCTGGTAAAGTTTTTTGACATCTTAAATCATGTAAAAATGTATTCTAAAAAGGATAAGAGGCCACGCTCTCAAAGAGCAGCAGCTACGTGCACTCCGCCCATCTTTCAGACGACTGTACAGACATATGCTCGCTGTATCTCAGAACAATGATAATAAAGCTTACTCTGATTCTGATAAGTAAGTTTCTTTTGGCTGCTCCCTTGTTCAGGGGACACCACAAAAAGAAAACTCGTATGAAAGATTTGGCAAGTTGTTTTATGCCGTATGTCCTTCCTGACATAACCTGAGCTCGAACCCACAACCTCAGTCAGGATTACAAGATCGCAGCACTGACCACTGAGCTACCACAGCTCCACATAAGGACTAAGATAACGTGTAAAACAAACTGCTCCAGTTTTATATTTTCCAGCTTGGAGATGATGAACATTGCCCAGTCAGCTGAAACTCCTGATGGGGAAACTGTTAAAGTACATTCTAAAATG